CCTCACTGTGGGGCCCTCAATCTGCCCCCCCCCCCAAACGCCCCTTTCTCCACAACAGACTTACCAGCCACACACTGCTTTCTAAGCTTCTCGGTTGCATATCAGCAATCGGATTGGTATCAGCCGATATAGCTTGTTAAATTCAGCCATCAGTACAGGTCCAAAAAATCTCAATTGGTGCACCCCTAGCTTTTGTAAGTACAGGGCGTGCTATATCAGATGCTGGGAAGGGACTGCAGGAGGCAGAGGTGCCAAACAGAAAACAGCAATTAGAATACATAGGGTATGGAAGGGGAAAGGAAAATGGAGAGAGGTACTACTGAGAGAGAGGCCAAGTGGATATATGCCATGACCTGCTTACAGTTCCCTCCCTGCTATCTACATTGCACAGATGAGGCAATCCCTATGTGTAAGAATGAACTAACACCATAAATACCAGACAGACAGACAAGCCTGTGCCAGGACATTTAACCACCCTGGACATTCTCTCTCTGACCCCAAAGGGGCTGTTCTTAGGCCACAACATTTTCAAAAGAAACTCGTGTAGCCTGGGTGGTATGCAGCTGGTAACCCACTCAATTGAAGGGATGTTAATGGGTGTGCTGTGGGAGCGTGACTGCCTAGCTCACCTCCTTTCCCTATGTCATGACCCAAAAGGCATGATTGTGTGTGTGCTTCGGCACCAGAATTATCCCCGTCAAGTTGCAGAGCATTGCACGGGAGAGTTTCCTGTAGCAGAGGAAACCCCGGTGCAGGGACCAGTTTCCTGCCTTTTCTGCAGCTTCTTTTGCAGAGTGCATTGCTCATGTTGCAAGAGGAATGCACGGTGCAAAAGAGTTCCCGCCACCGGTATGCAAATTTGTTCCCCATAATTGGCTAGTGCTAAATTATTCACACGTGGCGGCTAATGATTGGCCTGTTAGCCTTATAAGAGGCTTGAGCGGTTTCCGCCCAAGCCGAAGAGGACTCCACATCCATCTCGTGGGGACTCTGGGTACACGGCAGGGTAATAGAAACCATGTGTGAGATCCAGAGGAGCGTGGCGGCCTGATCCGCCACCCACCTCTTCCCGTCTTCGAACGCAACTTTTATAAGACGTATTTACGATTCCTATTTTGGTGGCTCGTTCACCCAGAGCATCTGGATCTCTGCACCGTGGAGCCTAGCAACCTCCACGAGACCGTCTGTGTTGTTTGTCTGTAACTGCAACTTAATCAAGCTTTCCAGCCTATACCACTGCCATCTCGGTGTAAGTAAATAATCTTTTAAACTACCGCTAGGCGTCCGTGCCTAATTCCAGCTCGAAGGCCTTCCCTCTCCGCCCCGGCGTGCCCGGGCTGCTGGCCACAGCCCGCGTGCAGCGCGAAAAGGGCTCAGGTCACTCCCGGCCCGCACGCCCTACAGAGCAGAGACCTGGGACACCCAGTGATGCTTAACTATTTACAGGTTTAATTGTATAATATCATATAAAACTGATAAACATGTACATATATACATGCACACACACATATACATACATATATATTATTTACAAATATAGGTTTACAAAAACAATGACTCTTATTAACCCTAAACACAGACAATCTCAGCCAGATATGGCAGACAAAAGTACTACATTAGCACAGACCTTGACCCTCTGTGGGTTTCCATTCAGTATGCAGCCCTTGCCCTCAGCAGGACCTGCAGGCATCAGGCAAGTGAACACTCAATGATAAAATGTAGGTTAGACAGTAAATTGACAAATGAAGACCTGGCAGTGAGGGAATGATAACTAAGCATAATCAAATAAGATACAATGCATGAAGATAACCAATACAATAAATTCAGGTATTGG